CGCTGTTCCCCCTCAGCCGTCGGGACCACCCGCGCCTCCCGCCAAATCCGCTACTCTCCCTCGACCGAGTGCCAGTCTTTCACCGGCTAATCCGCCATCGCTGACCAGGCGTTTTGCTTACCTTGTTAAGTACCACTCGGCAGACAGAAAGCGTCAAGTGATATTCCTCCACACATCTGCTGCTTCAGCTGTTGCCAGCTTGCGCTGACTCCGATTTTACTGTAGTACAGGCAACTGGACGACTCACTGACCCGTTGTTGATCATTTCTCAGGAATTTCGATGTCCGAAGCCACTGTCGAAAATCTCTTTGTGGGCATGTTCTGCCCTAATCACGTTAAGTACTCCAACCTAATCCCTAACGCCACATTTTTATGACGGTATTTTCAAATCATCCTCCTTGTCCTTGGTTATGATGACTGACATAACGAACATGTCTCGCGGTGTTTTCTTCATGAATTACTGCAATGCCTGGCCTCAGCTGATCAGTAATCCGTCATTCTATGCTTTCGCTATCGTTGTTGAAGTTCTACTCGATGAAAACCTTACTTCTCCTTTACAGCGCGTTTTGTTCAAATACAACCTATCACTCTATAGGTCTCCTTAAAGGTATGAGATCCGTCAACTCTTCCATACTGCTGCCTGTAGAGCACAAATATCGCGTCTGTTTTGAGGAAAAGGCGAGGAAAATATCCCGAGATAATGCGAATCAGACGCTATTTGTCGTAGCAAAGCAGGTTTATGGACATGGAAGTGATGTACATGCGAGATACATTTAAAACATGATATGTATGTTACAGAATAAGTAAAGTCCGCCTAGAACAAGAGTGACATGGCATAAAAACCGGAAAGAAGGATAGGGGAGTAATGAACAATAATAATAGTAGTAATAGCTGTCAGGCACTGTGGAATTCGCTCTGCATGCTGTCTACTTTACGTGAAACATTAACTTCCGGTTGACTTCCGGTTTTGGTTGCTGGATCATCGTCATCCCAGACTGATCATATCTGGTCATTGCAAATGGTATTTCAGTATAATCCTCGTTGTCTACGGTGGCAAAGCCATATTCCTCATTTCACCTGCACTGCCTCAACGAGGCTTTTCGGGCTTTGTTTTGTTCTCCGACACATCTGCAGCCAGTGGTCCGTTACAACGCGACATAAGCCTTTTTTGGGTCGTTTTACTGAACCAAGCCAAGCGTCGGTCGGTCACTGAGTTGATATCATTGTTTTTTCTGGCCGTCGTTAGCACCTCTTCCCGATGGCGTTGCTGGAAGAGCTGTTCAAACACGTTTAATGACGCTTCCCAACTGTATAACACAAACATGAATACGGTTGTCTTCAGGATAGTCATGCTACTTTCTTCCTTGTTCAAATGTATGCACTTTCCGTATGTCATGCAGTTTGTCAGAATTCATTGATAACAATCACGACGGTTCGTTCACTTGAGCATCACAATTTCGAAACTGTTCTGAGGTACTGTAAGTGGCCCGTGCCGTTAATTTGTATCATACGGTTGTCGGTGATGGTGGGCG